TAACCTCTCCCTGCCGCACCCCGGGGCCAGTGTTTGGGGCAGGCTTGGCGTTTCGCCTGGGACTTTCCCACCATGCATGACTCTGAAGATCAAAAAAGTGACAACCATTTCACAGATGGAGGGCGGGCCGTTCTACAAACATGTGGCGCTCGCCTCAACGCGGCGCGCATTCGTTTGAAAAAATGCAAGAGGTTCACTGAATGACGGCGGGGCGTCTTCAAAATGTGGCGCTCGCCTTAGCGCGGCGCACATTCGTTTTTAAAGTTTGCAAGATATTACGGATTGAGGGCGGATCGTTTTCAAACTGTAGCTCTCGCATCAGCGCGCGCACATTCGTTTGCAAAGTTGGATAAGTTTCACGGGTCGGGGGCGGTTCCTTTTCAAAATGTGGCTCTCGCCTCGGCGCCGCGCACATTCGTTTCTTTAATGCAAGGGTGTCACACATTCTCCTCATCAACGTAAGAAGGTGTTTGGGAAGGATTCCGGATTATGCGGATGCAACAATTGCGCTGATTTGTTGTGTTGAAATCCCGGGAATGGCGTTCTGGCACGATTCAGGACCGTCAAGACGCAACAGTCAGGTTGATCCGTGGCGTTGGAATCCCGAGAACATTGTCTTGGCATGCTTCAGGGTCTTCAAACGAGTGTCCTCCAATGAGGCAATTCCATCAATGGAAATGAACCGTTGTCGGGCCTATGAAGAGGGAGCTTGGAGGGAGGGTTTACTCCAGCATCGTTGATGACTCTTGGGTTTACACTGTTCCTCCTCCTCCTCCGCCTCTCCTCCTCCTCCTCCTAATCCTCCTAATCCTCCTCCTGCTCCTGCGTGTCCTCCTCCTGCTCCTGTTCCTCCTCCTCCTCCTGCTCATCCTGCCCCTCCTCCTCCTCCTCCTCATCCTCCTCCTCCTCCGCCTCCGCCTCCGCCTCCTCCTCTGCCTCCGCCTCCTCCTCCTCCTCCTCCTCCTCCTCCTCATCCTCCTCCTCCGCCTCCGCCTCCGCCTCCGCCTCCGCCTCCTCCTCCTCCTCTCCTCCTCCTCCTCCTCCTCCTCCTCCTCCTCCCCTCCACCTCCTCCTCCTCCTCCTCCTCCTCCTCCTCCTCCTCCTCCTCCTCCTCCTCCTCCTCCTCCCCCCCTTCCCTCCTCATTCCTCCTCCCCCCCCTCCTTCTCCTCCCCCTACCCCCTCCTCCTCTTCCTCCCCGTCCCGTTCCCCCTCCCCCGCCCCCGCTACCACCCCATCCCCCTTCCCCTCCCCCTCCCGCTCCCCCTCCTCCTCCGGCCCCTCCCTCCATCCATCCCTCCATCCCTGCCTCGGAGGCCCAGTATTCCATCAATGATGTGCTGCCACTTCCCGTCATGGGGGGGTGTGAAGTCCACGTCGGCGGGGGATGGGCCCATGGGTCTCACACTGCTCTGGGTTTCGTAAGAATCGTGGGGAGGGGTACCCCCCGACGGGGGTCAACCTCGCCTCATCGTCGCGCCGCGACGGGATCGGATCGCCTTCGGCGCGCGGTGTCTGCCCGTGACGGGGGTCGTTGTGGGGCTGTCGGCGGGGGTGCCCCCCGACGCTTATTACGAAACTCGGGGTATGGTGCTCACTCAAATTGTGCGCGCTTGGATGTGCACGGATTGTGGGGCCAGCGAGCGGTGAGGACCAGCTCCAATCCCTTGCAGGCCAGTGCCGCCCCGATCTGATCACTCGCACACGTCGGGACTATATCGATCGGTTGTTCGAGGTCTCCCACCGAAGACTCTTGTATTGAAGAGAGGTGTAATTCTGAATTTGAATGTTGCTTCGAAACTGTTCTGAGTTATAAGTTCCGTCCTCCCTCGTCCCTCCTCCGTTCTCCTTCCTCCCTCTTCCTCTTCCTCACTGCTCCCTGGTACTTGCTCCATGCTTCCTCCTCCCTGCTCCCTGAAACATGTTCCTTGTTCCCTCCTCCCTCCTCCCGCCTCCCTCCTCCCTCTTCCCTCCTCCTCATTCATCCTCCTCAGCTTCCGCCTAATCATCCTCACCCTCCTTCTGCTCCTCCTCCTCCTCAGCCTCCTCCGCCTCCTCCTGATCCTCCTCCGCCTCCGCCTCCGCCTCCTCCTCCTCCGCCTCCTCCTCCTCTTCCTCCTCCGCCTCCTCCGCCTCCTCCTCCTCCTCATTCTCCTCCTCCTCCTCCTCCCCTCCTCCCCTCCTCCGCTCATCCGCCTCCTCCCCTCCTCCTCCTCCTCCTCCTCCTCCTCCTCCTCCTCCTCCTCCACCTCCCCCTCCTCCCCCCTTCCTTCCTCCTCCCTCCTCCTCCTCCCCTCCTCCTCCTCCTCCTCCTCCGCCCCTCTTCCTCCTCCTCCCCCCTCCCCCTTCCCCCTCCTCCTCCTCGTCCTCCTCCTCCTCTCCTCCTCCTCCTCATCCTCCTCCTCCGCCTCCGCCTCCGCCTCCGCCTCCTCCTCCTCCTCCTCCTCCTCCTCCCCTCCCCACCTCCTCCTCCTCCTCCTCCTCCTCCTCCCCCCTCTTCCCTGTCTGCCGCGTCATGGCCCGAGGCACGTGCCCAGACGAGGACGGCAGCATCCCCAGGGCATTCGAGGCCACGCGATGAGCGGGCCCAAGGTGCTGAGGTCCTCCACCCCTGCTCTTTCTTCCGCTCGTTCTGCGAATTGCGCGAGGATCGACAGCGACGAATCGGCTCACGTTGCAGCTTCGAAGTCGTGAGTTCCAGGCCAGGTTTCGTAGCCGCGGATCCGACAGTGAATCGGAAGTGGAGTAACCAGGCGCGAAGGAAGCGCGCAAAGAAGGCGAGGGAGCCATGTAATCTGGGAGATCGTGTGGCCCTGCTATGATTTCAACAACAACAACAACAACAACAACAACAACAACACCACCACCACCACCACCACCAACAACAACAACACCAACAACAACAACAACAACAACAACAACAACAGCACCACCAACAACAACAACAACAGCAACAGCACCAACAACAACAACAACAACACCAACAATCACTTTACCCGAACGCTCAGTGTTCTCACCAGTGCCAGGGTTTTCATGCGACGCCAGCCAATACCCCCACTTTGTGGGGGGGCAGTACAAGCTCTACCAAATATCCACACGACTCTTCGCCACCACCCACACCCAGCTTCCCGCCCTATGACGTTCGGACACTTCACTCGTGGCCTGCGGACGACCGTGGCTACTACACTGGCGTGGAGTACACACCCACAGAAGTTGTTAAGCCTACGTTCGTACACCCACAGAAGTTGTTAAGCCTTGTTAACCCACAGAAGTTGTTAAGCCTTCCACAAAACATCTGTTGCATATGA